AAAAAAAAAAAAAAAAAGAAAAGTCAGGTCTTGTCTGAGGTCACAGAGACCAAGCCATGATCACCATGTCCAAGTGAGAAGCCAGGAGGCGTGCCCATGCCCTCCGCACTGGGATCTCCAGCACCAGGGATTCTCCTGGAGGGACGGAAGGATGGAGCAAGCCCTCCATCTGGTTCATCCTCCCTCCACACTGCACAACTACAGCCAGCAGGATGCAAAGAGGCAGGGGGTGGGTGGCGGCACATTTAGGGAAGGGGTGGGGAGAGGACAGCGTCCCTCTGAGTGCCCAGTGTAAGTGCAATTTCCTGCCCCTGAGGAAACGGTTGTAACCAGCCTGCTTCTCTTTTCCCCTCTCTGGCCTCACAGGAGGAGTTGGCGGGCAGCCCTGGACCCTTCTGGCCCCGGCCAGATCCTGCTGGCCTGAGGACACTAGGAGAGATGCCCTGGGCCATCCTGCTCCTCGCAGCCGGTGAGTGTGACAACTTCCTGGGGACCCCAGCCATTCTCCAGCCCCTGCCCTCGCTGCTGCTCTGGGGATAGAATCCCAAGGTGGCGGCGGTGCCTTCCCAGGTGACGAGGCTCCAGGGCAGGGGCAGATGGGCGCGAGAGACTTGGAAATGGCCCAGCCCCTTCTGTTCAGGTGCCTCTGAGTCCCCAAGTCCAAGCTCGCAGAACTGTCACCCCTGGGCCCGCACTGCCGCTGTTGTGACTTGGCCGCAGGGCTCTGCAGGCTCCCAGTTTGGGGACATCGGTGCACAGAAAGGCTGGGGTTCGCCCCATCTGCAATATGCTGTGCTCAGGAGCCTGCAGGCAGCAGGACAGGCTGCTTCCAGGGACGCAGCTGCTCCTGTGTCCCCTGGCACAGCGTGGGGAGAAGGGACTGTCTCTCCGATTCTGCTGGATTTCTTTTTTGTCTTCTTCTTCCTCCCCTTCCTTTTTTTTTTTTTTTTTTTTCCTGCTATTGGAGATTGAACCCAGAGCACACTGAGCGGTGTACCCCAGCTCTCTTCTGTTACACACCGGGAAGTGACCCTCCAGGCCAGGGACGTGCCAATGAGCGGAATCCCCAGCCCCCAACACTTTTTGCTATTGAGTCAAGGTTTGCCTAACTTGCTAAATTACCCAGACTGGGCTAAGCTTTATGATCCTCCTGCCTCAGCTCCACAGAATGCTGGTGGTACAAGCCCAGGTACCTCACACTGGGCTGATCTCTGCTAACTCCTGTCCGATCTCCAGCACTCATTTTCCACCAAAAAAGGCCCAGAGAGGGTGATCTTGCCCACAGTTGGCTCCTGCACTCTGACAGCACCCCGCCCCACTATCTATTTATTCTTTTTTTCTTGGTACTTATGATTTTTTTTTTTTAAATTTTAGGGAAGGGTCTACAGGGTGTTCAGGGTCTCACTACTAGAGCCCTGGTACTTATTGAGGCTGGAATGCAGGGCCTTGCCATGAGCTGCAGCTCTGGCTTTCTCTCGCTCGCTCGCTCTCTCTCTCTCTGACATGGGAAGGTACCAGGAATCAAACTCATGACTGCATGCTTGGTAAGCAGGCACCATACCACTGAGCTACATCCCAAGCCATATTTTTTTTTAATTTTTTTAAACATTTATTTATTTATTTAGTGTGTGTGTGTGTGTGTGTGTGCGCGCGTGCGCGGCCAGCTCAGCCCACCAGGGGGCAGGGCTGGCTGGCATGTGGTGCTCGGGGATTGAACCTCGGTCCCTGTGCTTTGCCAAGCTTGTTCCAAGTAGGTGCTTTAGACCACTGAGCCATCTCGCCAGTGCCCCAAGCCATATTTTATTTTTTATTTTGTTCTCACTAAATTGCCCAGGCTAGGCTGGAACTTGCACCCCTCCTGCTTCAGCCTCCCAGAGTGCAGGAATTCCAGCCGTGCCCACAGGGCCAGTTCAGCTCCCCTTGCTCTGCACTGCAGGCTCCTTGGCCATCCCAGCGCCTTCCATCTTCTTGGTGCCCCCCTACCCAAGCAGCCAAGAGGACCCCATCCACATCTCGTGCATAGCCCCCTCGACTTTCCCAGGGGCGAACTTCACGCTGTACCAAGGGGGACATGTGATCCAGCTCCTGCAGGCCCCTGCAGGTGAGCCAGGGGTCACATTCAATGTGAGCAGCAGCGGCATGAGCAGCGGGGCTCCCAGTGGGCACTTCCGCTGCCAGTACGGTGTGATGGGTGAGCACAGCCAGCAGCAGCTGTCGGACCTCAGCCAGCCGGTGCAGGTCTCCTTCCCAGGTGAGTGCCCCGGGGCCACCTCCCTCCGCAGCGACCACCTTCTGGGAAGACCAGGTCCCCTCGCTCGCTTTTCCCCTGTAGATCCTCAAAGCCACTCCAGGAGACAGAGAAAGTGAGAGCTGGGCATGGTGGTGCAGCCTTGTAAGCTCAGCACTCTGGGAGGCTGAGGCAGGGGGATCTCAAGTTCCAGCCCAGCCTGGGCAACTTAGAAACTTAGCAAGACCCTGTCTCATCATAAAATAAAAAGAGATAGGGATATAGGGATGGAGCTTAGTGCAAAGGTGCTAGGTTCAATACCCAGTGAGAGAGAGAGAGAGAGAGAGAGAGAGAGAGAGAGAGAGAGAGACAGACAGACAGCACCCAGCACCCACAGGGGCTTTTCCAGTCCCCCAGGTAATAGACAGCAGAGCCACTGTCCTCAGAGTCCAGGAATCAAATCTCCACTCTGGACTGCACTATCCCATCTTAGTTGCCTACAATTTTTGGCACCTACTATGTGCCAGGCATTGTCTTGGGCATCGTGGGTTCACCTGTGAGTGAAACAGACACTATCGCTACCCACTCGCAGCTGACGTCCCAGGGGTGGGGACAGGCAACACAAAGGGACCCAGTAAGTATGCAGTCTGTTAGACGGGAGCCCAAAGGATGAAACTCAGCATGGTGGATCAAGTTATTTTAAATGGAAAGGAAGCTAGCCAGGAAGCCCTGTCACTCTCCTCTTTCTCTTTCTGTTTTCAGTACTGGAGTTTGGACTGAGGGCCTTCACCCTAAGTCACATCCCCATCCCTTTGTTTTCACTTTGAGTCAGAATCTTGTTTAGTTGCCTGACCTTGTGATCCTCCTGCCTGAGTCTCCCAGAGTACTGGGTCGAAAACGCACGCACCGTCACATCTGGATCAGGGATGTCCTCCTGGGGAGGTGACACTGAAGCAAAAGTCTGAATGAAGTGAGGGATGGGTCCCAGCTGCAGTCCCAGCTTCTCAGGAGGCTGAGGCAAGAGGATCGCTTGAGCCCAGGAGTTCAGGACCATGAAGTGAAGGTTAGTTTGGGCTACCTAGGGAGGCCCTGTTTCTTTAAAAAGATTTAGCTACAGATGAAGCTTAGTGGTGCAGCGCCTTCCCAGTACCTAAAAAAATAATAATAAAAAAGAAAAGAAAAAGGTGGGAGAGCCACTAGCCTGCTTCGATGTCCCCCACTGCAGAGCATACCTTGTGGGCAGCCACAACCCGCTGACTGGTGACGGAGCCGTCTCTGTGTCCTTCTGGCCTCCCGCTCCTGAATCAAAGGCTCCCTTCTCCACGTTGGCCTTGTGGTCGCAGTGCGCAGGCGACCCAGCCCTGCTCCCATGTGAATGAATGAACAAGGCCAGGCTTGGCTAGAAGACACAGCGCTGTCCTTCCCCTCCAGGCTGAGTGGCTCGGCACTTGACTAGTGTCAGACGTTTCCGCCCCAGAGCTCTAAAAGATCCTGTGTCCTGGGAAAAGAAGCCGAGTCTTCCACAGAGAAAGTTCTGATAAAATTATGCCCATCCTCAGCTCCGGGTATATTTCCTACCAGCACTGTAATTGAAACATTACAGGGAATAATAAACCTCTTTTTCCATTGGCTCAGCCAAAGTCCCAGAATCAGTTTCCATTGGCTGTGCTTGCCTAAGCCAATCACATTAGCCTGGGGCGGGAATATGCTAATTATCCAGCTGCAAGGTTGCTAGGTGCCTGGTCGGCTACGCAGAGCAGGGGTTGTAGGTCTGGGGAGAGCGCCGGCCCCTCCCAGGTGACATTCGCTTTTGGATTTTCGCCTAGTTCCCACTTGGATCCTGGCGCTCTCTCTCAGCCTGGCCGGAGCCTTCCTCCTCCTCACTGTGCTGGTGGTCTCTGCCGTGGTGGTCAGGAGAGGTAACAAACAGCACATTCACACAGTTCTCCAGGTGCACAAGGCAGTAACCCAGGAGGTTTTGCTCCAGGAATAGGGTAGACACCGATCTAGAACCTGTAATCCCAGCACTGGGGAAGCTGAGGCAAGAGGATTGCTAAAAGTTCAGGGCTAGCCTGGGGTACAAAGCAAGACTTTGTCTCAAAAATATTTTTTATAAATACTGAACTTCTTTAAAGTTTTTTTTCTCATCATTATACATAGTACAGCAGTTTTTTTTTTATTTTTTCTATTTTTTAATTTTTTAAATTTTTTTTTTTTTTTTCAGAACTGGGGATTAAACTCAGGCCCTTGTACTTGCCAGGGAAGTGCTTATTCTACTGAGCCATGTCCCCGGCCCCCAGCAGGTTTTTTAAAAGTGTCTATTTTTGGTGGTGGTACTAAGGCTTGAACCCAGGATCTTTGCACTGAGTGACAGCTCCAGTTATTTTCTGTTTTTTGTTATGAGACGGGGTCTTAACCATGTGGGCCAGACTGAGGTTAAACTGTGATTCTCCTGCCTCAGGATTTTTTTTTTTTTTTTTTTTTTGTGGAATGGGGGATTGAACTCAGGCCCTTGCACTTGCCAGAGAAGTGCATATTCCACTGAGCCATCTCCCTGGCCCCTGCCTCAGGATTTTTTATGTAAAGGATCTGAGCATGCGTGGATTTCAGTCTCGGAGGAATCCTTAAATTAATCCCTCATAGACAGATTCTGAGGGGAAACTGGATTTTTTATTTATTTATTTTTTTTAAAATTTTTATTTATTTATTTATTTATTTATTAGAGAGATAGAGATAGAGAGAGAGAGAGA